GTAAGAACTGTATGGCTCACCATCATAGAGGTGTTAGATAATAACGTTTGATGCTTCAGTAGACCTAATAATACAGTTTCAAATTCTCCAATGCTCTGTGTTAGCCTCATTTGTGCGCAAAATATTCCTAACTGTGAGAATAAGTGTGAGATTTCAAATCAATTCTATTGTCTTTCTTTTCAAATTCCATGCGTTTTCTCGGCCCATCAATGAAACAAAAGAATATATTACTTCGTTTTGAGGCTAACACAGAGCAAACCAGAACTCGAAATTGGAGTATTGCCATGTACAGTACCACCCTATTCAAATCCTGTGGAAAAAAGAACTTTTTTTTGTAAGAATTCAACTTTGAAATTAACATACAAAGAACAATGAAACTTACTTCTGGGTGGTTTGAATTGGGTGAAACTTTTATAGCAACACTTTAGCTAATGAGGTCTATTGAAACCAAAATATGAATGAGAGGGAAATAGAACACAAAGGTGGCATTTTTTTAATTAATAACATTTTTCATGGTTTTATTTTCTGCACTCAATATTTTAGCCATATATATTTTAAATCAAGAAATGGTTCACACTACAGTAGAAGAAGTGTATGTTCTGTGTGAACAGAGAAAACATAAACAAAAGCATAAAAAATGAAAATGAAAACTTTTTCATTTTCAATTATGTTTCTGCGTAGGATTAACCTTAAAAAATATGATGCTTATGTCAAGTGTGAACCAGCTTCTGMTGYTGTTTATGTTTATGTCATAGTGCAAACTGGCCGTAATAGGCTTATTTTGTGTATTTATATGAATGATATTTCTAGACATTAGATGTCATTCAAAGACTGTGTGAATCCAGTGAATACAGATACCTTCGACTAGACGGTAACACGGCCACTAGCAAAAGGCAATCTATAGTTGAGCGTTTTAATGCCAAGTACTCCAATGACTGTAAGTATTACCATTATCAAAAGATTGAGTTAAACTAAGATATATATTGTTTGGTACATAGCTAAGCTTTATTAAGAATTTCGTTGGGTACTAAAGTCACACCATAATGTTTCAGATGTGACTAAAGGTACCAAAATATGTGTTTCTTGTTTTTCATTGCCTGCTTTTTGTCTCAGACAAAGTTCACAACAAGAAGCATCGACTTGACTTGAACAGACACAAGTTGATTTGTTTTGTATCTTGTATTTCTCAGCTTTGAATGAGTTTTTCTCTTCCCAGTTGTGTTTTTACTGAGTTCCAARGCAGGAGGTGTTGGTCTTAATCTGATTGGTGCGTCCAGGTTAATACTATATGATATTGACTGGAATCCAGCCAATGACCTTCAGGTAGAAATCACTAGTTGTTGATTTTCAAGGCTTGCCTTTTATAGCYATTACAATCYATYTGTCATATTTGTTATAGGCCATGGCGCGTGTGTGGAGAGATGGACAAAGAAAGAAAGTCTATATCTATCGATTACTGACTACGGTATAAACAATTATTACCTTTCATTTGACAATTATTAGCTTTTCTTATCCTTAATTGTCTTTTAATTGTCTCTTAAAAGTTTCACTCTCCACCTCCTAACAAAACTGTCTTTTGGACATGCTCTGTAGGGTACTATAGAAGAAAAGATATACCAAAGACAAACAACCAARCAGAGTCTGAGTGGAGCAGTAGCCGATGCCAAAAAAGAAKCCAAAGTTGAATTTACAGTAGAGGATATCAGGGTAGGAATTTTAAAATATTCTTAAACAAATACACTCCCTGTTAACCCTTATCCATAGTGTTTGGCCAGTACTAAATACAGTCTAAGTACAGAATGCAGTAGTTACTGTGAGGA